ACTGAGGAAGAAAGAAGCAAAGTTTGTACTAGATGCAAAGTTGAGATAAGAAGTCCTTGCTCTCATGGGAGTGGAGCGGTGGATTGCATATACACATTATTATAATATACGATAAATTCACAGGAGATGTCATAAGGATCTGTTGGGAATAAGCTGACCTGAGAAGGAGGTGAAAACATTTTTTTAAACTTTTAAATGGTGTTTAAGTTAAGGAAATCATTACTTTACCATGGAATTTTGTGAAATATATTTGGCCAATAATGATGCATATATATGCAAATTCACAATACACATATTATGAGATATATCTAATATATTATATGAGAGAGATTATATGGTATATATTTTATATTCATATGTATATGAATATATACATACATATGCTTTTATTGGGCAATATTCACTCTGTTGCATTTTTTCACTTAAAAAATAATCTAAATTTCTCATACTAGTCTTTTGATCATCGTGTTCCTCCTCTGCAAGTACCTCTGGGATTATATTTTAGAGTAGAATTTCCTTTGTCATCTATTAGAATGGCCTGATTAGAAGTTAGATTTATAGCAATCAGATTATAAATAAATTTATATTATATACAAATATAAATAAATAAATTCCAATTTATTGGGATCCATGGGTACAGAAACCTCTTCTTTATATAGGATTCTTTAAATGGGATTTCTGATGGGATATTTGTATAACTACAAATGATCATTAAATAGGAAATAGAAGGTCCTAATGCAAAACAAGTTTAAAGGAATTCAGTTGTTTTTTTTTTGAGACCGATGGCGCAAGTGAACAGAGTTCTGGACTTGGAGTCAGGAAGAGCTGAGTCTAAACTCTGCCTTAGAAATTTAATAGCTCTTGTTGACCTGGACAAGTCACTTAACTACTGCCAGCCTCAGTCCCCTTGTCTGTAAAAATGGGAATCATTTACAGTAGGTCTACTTCATAGGATTGTTGTCAGAATCAAAAAGACAACAAATATGAAAAGCTTTGCAAATCTTAAAGCACTGTATGCATACGAGCTAGTAATATTATTATGTTTTCTTGGAAAATATTTTCCCTTAGTATATGCATTTCAACAAGGTATTACAATATATAACATAACGAAAAAAAATTGCAAAGTTCTTGTTACTTGATTTTGAGTGAAATCAAGGCCCAAGATCATCCCAAGACAACCCTAGTCTAGAAAGGTCCTGCTTTCCATAAATGGATTAAATTCGTGGAGCGTAACTACCTTCCTATGTTAATTTGATATTAGAACCAGCCAAAGGCTCAGGTCAGTCTGTTTGGGAATGCTTCAAGTGGCAACCACACCCTCTGACTCTGGACATAATTCCAAGGTAAACCAAGAGTGACAGAGTGGGTGCATCTTAGAAACAGCATAATTCTTTGGAGACTTTCCTTTTGGAAGCTTTTTAAGTAAAGAAATGCTCCCAAATGTTTGCTTGTCAGTTTCATGAATTGAAACTCTCTGCTTCTGCCATGCTGAAACTTAAGATAACAATTATCAAAACTTCTCAGGTTTAAGAAGAAGACTTTCTTTTTTTTGATGCTGGAATGGAATCTTTTTTTTTTTCCTTTGGTTAAAGCTCATGGCAAAACTCTTTTAGTTTAGACTGTGTTCATTATCTTTATGGAATCAATAAGAATTGGATTTTAAGACTATAAATTTGGGCAAATCTTATAGAAGTATTGGGAAAGAGTTTATCTCACATTTCTGGGACAATCACCAAAGCAGTATTTGCTCCAACACAACTGATTTGGCCAATTAGGGAAACAGTTTCTAATCTTTAAGTTCTTTAAGATCCTTTCTTATTCTGCTTGTTGCTCAAGGAAATGAAACTGAAGGAGTCTGATTTCTTTCCATTGGTGTACTTTGTGACTTTAGGTAAGTCATCTGATTTCCCTGTGAATCAATGTTCGAATTTGTACAGTGGGGAAATCAAAGTGCATAGAACACACACACACACACACACACACACACACACTTACATTTTGCAAAAGCAAATAAAGCAACAAAGAAACACCAAATGAAAAGGGACACTAATTTAAACCTAGAAGCATTGATTTACATTGAATTCATCTTGACCATATTCTATACATTTTTTCAAGAATAACATTTGAAAGGAGTTTTCACAAGCAACAGCAAAAAGCTTGATAGGCCTAGAAAAAATGTGTCCTTTTCAAAAGAAATTTTTATAGTATTCAGTAACTTATTCCAGCATATAACAAGAGCCAAAGAAATGTAATCTCCTCCTGACATTTGAGGTGAATTTTTTTTCCCGTTACTGGTACACTCGGGTTTTACCTTAAAGACCATTCCAATTCTGATACTTCCGTGATTCTATCCCTTACCCACTTTCTATGTAATTTATCACATTAAAAATAGAGATCGTATTGTTAATTCTTAGGTGGCATTGGCTATTTCATTGACTTTGGCAACTACATTATTGTAAGTGACTAGAATAAAAAGAATTAAGCTTCAAATTTTTCAAGAGGTATGGACATATCTAAACAAACTGGGAAAACAGAAACTGAAGTGGCTTCTTTGGAAACAGGCTTGGGTAGCTGATGAAACAGGTCAACTATAATTAACTAAGTAGTGCAATAAAATGGTTAAGCACTTTCGTGACAACAACAAAAAACACACTCCTTAGGAATTAATCAGTTTATTTATAGGTCCTTAGAGTTTCATATTTGAATATTGAATTTTTAGTTGCCGAACAGCTACCTGCATTGTAAGATGATATTACATGAGGTGTAAAGGTAATGCCAAGAGATTTTGACGTTTAGGTTAATTTCCTAAGTCCATTTTAAAAAAAAGCAACAACAAAAATCTTGACAATTGAAAATTTTGTATTCTTCCCCCCCCCCCCCATAAATGGTTGCCAATATCTTGTTGTTGAGTTACTTCTGAATCTTTATGAGGCCATTTAGGGTTTTCTTGTCAAAGATACTGTAGAGGTTTGCTATTTCCCTCTCCAGCTCATTTTACCGATGAGGAAACTGAGGCAAACAAGGTTGAATAACTTGCTTAGGGTCACACAGATAGTAAGTATCTGAAGCCAGATTTGAACTCAGGGGGTCTAGTACTCTATCCGTTGTGCCACCTAGTTGCCCTGGTTGCCAATATACAGGGGGACAAACTATTTGATTTGATTTGATTTTTTAATTCCTTAGAATGTAGCAGCAGAAAGTCAGGGCGATTATCGAATCTTGTTTCCTTCAGGAAGCATTCTCCCAAACCTAATTCCTCCCTCAAAGATCTAGACCCAGTCCCTGCCCTTGTAATGTAAATTAGAAATATGCATAGCATGCTTTTCAACTGCTCTACCTACTTCTGAGGCCAAGGTGGCCAAAGGATGATTTAACTGCGGATTTAATTGGGATGTCTAGTCTGCTCTAGCTGACCTGAGCAGAGTGGCCTTCTGGCTGAGCTGGAACTGGTCTTTTGGGGGCAGGCAGATAAGGTGGATCCCGAGTGGCGATAGGCCGGACTGGCTGGCTGAGGACTGGTGAGACGGACCGTCGGGCTCAGGTGTGCCTTACCCGGACGATGTGTGGGGCAATGCAGCCGGTCCCGTCCGACGAGTGAGGTGGACCAGACCAGTGACTTGTTTTTATAAGTCCAATGGGAGGGGCCTCCGTCCAGTGGATAACTTCCTAAAATGTTGTAATAGTTTTGGGGGAGAGTCGCTGGGCCAGATCGCGGGTTGGGGCGGGGGGAGAAGGAGGAGTGACCCAAGACACTGCCCTGGACGTTGCCATGGCCAGGATGGAAGGAGGTTGCGCTCTCCCACTACCCTCGCCCACCTGGACCTCGCTAAGGCGAAAACAATCTGCTTCTCCCCTTGGGGTGTGTGATCGCGTGGCTAATTCCGCCAACATTACCAGGTCCTTCTCTCCGCTTTAGGAATGAAGGGCAGGGACGTGGAAAAGCCCGGAATTCCGCCGCTGGTAAAGCCGAAAACTGCGGTCAGCGGAATCCCACTCGAATCTCAGACGGGAAGCGAGAACAATCGTGCTCCTTTCCAGCAGATCTATTGGGAAACACTTGAGCCTTCTACTAAAGCTCAACCTGAACCAGCCAGATTTTTTCCTAGAGGAGCTCTGTGAGCAGCGGTCTTATCTCCCTAACCCCCTGATAAATGAAGATCAATCCATAAATCCATCCAAGAAAAGCCCGACTCTAAGTGACACATTGACTGACCACACAGGACAGGAAGCAATGAGCACTGGTTTGGAGTAGCTACCTGTAAGGCGCAGGTGAAGACGCAGCTCGAGTGAAGCCTCGAGAGAGGAAAGCGTGGGGGGGGGGGGGGGGGGGAAGAGAACCCACACACTTCCCTTCTCACTCTCCGGTGCCTGGGAATGCCATGCAGTATTTTACAGGCATCCTCTCTGGTAATCAGGCAAAGTGGGAACGCGCCCAGCACGTTTAACTGCGTAATGGTTTTGTTTTCTTTTTCCAGGTTTTAGAAGGGAAGGCACAAGTCTTATTTTCCCTCTTGGTCCTATTTTCATCCCCAAAAGGCTCCTTCAGATGTAGGCAGTGAGCAGAAGGTGAAAGATTACTGTGTCTGGGGGACCTGTGTTCAGATAAGCTGTTCTGCCACTTCTACTTAATCGGCTTTGGACAAGTTCTTTCAATTCTCTGAACTTCACTTTCTCATTCTTTAAAAAGGTGGGGTCGCACTTTTTCAGCGGTTTTTTCCAAAACAGGTCGGAAAACCCCTGGGAGTCCTCGAGGTTAAAACTGTATTCACAAATAATGCTAAGACATTTTGATTTCCAATACAGTAAATAACGATAGACGTAACGCCCGTAGACAAAAATTCTTTGTAGGGTCCTCAATAATTTTCAGGAGCTCAAAGGGGTCCTGAGAACCACTGAATTAGATTACCTCTGCAGTGCCTTCCAAGCCTAAATCCAGCATTTTATAATCTAACTCCATTAGAAAGAAAAAAGAACGGAAAAGGCAAAGTAGAAGACCTTACCCATGGTGAGCAGCACAGCAGAGATCCTCCAGAAGTAGCTGTCCATCGTGGGGGAGCGTGTCCACGCCTTTGCTTCCTGGCTGAGAATGAATGGAGAAATCGGGACGTTTAGTCTGGGCTGGCTGACCTGAGCAGAGTGGCCTTCTGGCTGAGCTGGAACTGGCCTTTTGGGGGCAGGCAGATAAGGTGGATCCCGAGTGGCGATAGGCCGGACTGGCTGGCCGAGGACTGGTGCGACGGACCGTCGGGCTCAGGTGTGCCTTACCCGGACGATGTGTGGGGCAATGCAGCCGGTCCTGTCCGACGAGTGAGGTGGACCAGACCAGTGACTTGTTTTTATAAGTCCAATGGGAGGGGCCTCCGTCCAGTGGATAACTTCCTAAAATGTTGTAATAGTTTTGGGGGAGAGTCGCTGGGCCAGATCGCGGGTTGGGGCGGGGGGAGAAGGAGGAGTGACCCAGGACACTGCCCTGGACGTTGCCATGGCCAGGATGGAAGGAGGTTGAGCTCTCCCACTATCCTCGCCCACCTGGACCTCGCTAAGGCGAAAACAATCTGCTTCTCCCCTTGGGGTGTGTGATCGCGTGGCTAATTCCGCCAACATTACCAGGTCCTTGTCTCCGGTTTAGGAATGAAGGGCAGGGACGTGGAAAAGCCCGGAATTCCGGCGCTGGTAAAGCCGAAAAGGTCTGAGTTCCTTAGGGAAAGAGCAGTGACTTGGTGGGAGGAGCAAAGGAAACAGGGGGTGGCCCCCTATGAATATCCAAGTCTCTTGGCTGGGCTGGCTGCTTTATTCGAGGGGTGGAGGGGGGAGGGGGTCAGCTTAGCAGAAGCTTGGAACAATTAAAGAGGACTTCGACTATCCATGAAGGGAACGAGCTAAAGTTCCCGAGAAAGAATGGCTTTCCCTGGAAAAGATGCCCATTGCGTGGTTTTAGGGAATGTGGCTGTTTGTGTGTGTGAGGCCATCAAAAATAAATGCCTCACCTTGTTTGGGCTCGGTGGGGATTGGATCAGCAAATCACTCATTCAAGAACAATCCCTTGAAGTTCTTTTTTAATGCTTTCCTATCTTTTGCTCCCTCCCCTTCCAATCTAGGTGATCGCTTGTCATCTCTTTACTGCTCCCTGCATCCAATTTTTCTCCCACCCCCATCTATCCTGCGTTCTGTTGCTAAATTAACCTTCCGAGAAGTCCAGTTTTGCCATTTCATTTCTGTGTTCAAAAACCTATGTGGTGCAGTGGATAAAGTCCTGGAATCAAGAGGACCTGAGTTCAAATTTGTTCTCAGACACTATCTGGGTGACCCTGAGCAAGTCACTAAAACCTCTTTCTGTCTCAGTTTCCTCAACTGTAAAATGGAGATAATAAGAATACCTGTGTCACAGGATTGTTGTGAGAATCAAATGAGATAAAATTAGTAAAGTGCTTGGCACAGAGTAGGCACTTTGTAAGTGTATATTCTCCCTCCTTAGCTTGACATTTTATTTAGTATCTCTCTCTCTTTTTCCAACCTTAACTCCAGTATTCCCCAGTACAAACTCTCCAGCATAAACTGGCTCATTTACTCATTATACCTCGGCGTTGTGCTTTGTTCATTCTCACCTATGTGTCCTTGAGAATGCATTTCCCACTTTGACATAAGATTTGGCAAATCTTACCATCCATACTTCAAGGTCTAGTTTTAGCTTCACAAAGCAGCCCTTGACTACCCCAGCTTCCAATGATCTCTTCTTTCAATAAAATCTTTCCAAACTTATATACTTACGTGTGTGTGTGTGTGTGTATGTTTGGAAAAAAATCCAATCATATGTTGTCATTTAATATTATTTAACTTTTCATTTGTGTGTATGTTGTTTTCCCATCTAAATGGTAAGTTCATGAGGGCAAGTACTCAACTTCGTGTCTCTCAAAGGTTTCCGTAAGTATGTACTGAATAAGTAAACTGATCAGTATTGATGATGCCTACTTCTTATTTTCTTCTTTCCCCATCTCAGAAATTTCTTTTCGCTTTCAACAGTCTTACATTAAACAAAAACTGACTTACATTCTAAAACTTAAGTCCTCAAAACACCATATGGAACCCCGAAAACTGTATTCATCATCAAATTCTTAGGTCAGACTATGTTCTTTTGTGACATGAAACCGGAGAATAACAAATCAGATTGAGATGTATAATGGGTTAGAATATCATATAGGCAAAGGAAAACTGCTTAATGAATCGATTCTCTCTCTCTCTCTCTGTCTCTCTCTCTGTTTTTCTCTCCCACTCTCTCTCTCTCTCCCTTTCTCTCTCTCTCTGTCTCTGTCTCTGTCTGTCTCTGTCTCTCTCTCACTGTGTCTATGTGTCTCTCTGTCTGTGCCTGTCTTTCTGTGTGTGTGTGTGTGTGTGTGTGTGTCTGTCTGTCTGTCTCTGTCTCTCTCTCTAGAGAGAGCCAACCTTGGAGTCAGGTAGAACTTAGTTCAAATCCTTCCCCTGACATGTTCTGGCTGTGTGACTCCAGGCAGGTCCCTTAACCTCTCAGTCTGCCACTACGACCAGGCAGTTCTCCAAAACCATAAATTGCAGAGAAGGCACTTCTCTGCACTGGTAGAGGAACTCCCTACATACCAATAAAATCACAGATCTAGGGTTTTTTTTTTTTAAGGAAAGCTAGGTTTCTCTTTAATTTGTGAAATTAGACATAAAATTCTGCTGCTGCCGCATTGTGACTTTTGGTACTATGTATTTCAAAAAGCAGGATAAATAGCCATGAACAAAAATGTTTGAAAAAAAAGGATACAGACTATGAAAAGCCTGGTGTGTCTGAAGTGTGAGTCTGTCCTTAGATTTCAATGTGAAGTCTGTCAAGTCTTTACAAGCAGGGACAAGAAGGAAAAATGCATTCAATTTGAATGTATTTTAGTTAAGCTAACCCAGAGCTGGGCTGCCTGGTTAAGAGAAAGATGATATAGGGGAGGAAATGAGGAGAATGGGTTCAAGGCACAACTAGTCAGCATTATGGTATTGATTTGGAGAGAAGAATTATTTCATCCTTGGTTAAGCCTATAAACATAGATCTTATCATCTGTTTGAAAAAAAAATTCCAACCTTGATTCCAAAATTTTCCATAGCAGAGTCTGATTTCATATGGTGTGAACACACATTTCTTTTTGGGGCTCTATGTTTACTCAATCTTTTAGCCATGAGCTTTTACAAATGGCTTCTTCATGATACATTAAGAAGCTCACTGGCCCTTGACTGTACTAGCATTACTTATTATTTATTCCTTTGAGGGTTTTTTCCCCACTTAAACCAAGAACTATAAATCATGGATTTGTATCCAAGTGCATGTATAGACAATATCATCTTGGCCAATCTTAAAGAACACAAAACTCATTTAAAGAAATGGTTGTGTCAAAATTTTGGAGATTCAAGTTATAAGAAAGGTGAGGATTGGGAGGGACCTTAAGCAGGGATTCTTAACTCTTTTGTGTCATGGACCCCTTTGGCAATCTGGTGAATCCCATCGATCTCTTCTTAAAAAAAAAAAAAGCCAGGTCTCTACTCTCTCTAGTATGTGAAATTAGACATAAAATTCTGCTGCTACCTCATTGTGGTTTTGGTACTATATGTCAAAAAAAAAAAAAACAGGATAAATAGCCATGAGCAAAAATGTTTTGAAAAAGGATACAGACTGTAAAATGAGTTCTGTGTCTGAGCTGTGAGTATGCCCTGAGATTTCAATGTGAAGTATTCTTAGCTCTTCTTAGAATAATGTTTTTAAATGTATAATATAAAATAAAATACATAAGACTACAAAGCAAAGTAATTATATTGAAATAAGGACGTAGGATTGTTGTTGTTGTTTTTTTATAAATGTTTACAGACCCTCTGAAATTTATGCATGGGCTCCCTGAGAGTCTGTGGACCGCAGGTTAGGATCTCCTGATCTAGTTCAACCCTATTATTTGACAAATGAGATTAAAACCAAGAGAGTTTATTTGACTTGTTCAAGGTCACACAGTGCTAGAACTAAGATAATAAGTAAGAAGTATACAAATAATCACATTTCCCATTCAAAGACCCATAACCCTAAACAAAAAAAGATTACTCTAGCAGATCTTGCAATTCTACTTTCCAAGGCCCATTTCATCTTTTGGTGGTCCATCAAGCTAGGGTCAATTATATCTGGAATTTGGAATGCCAAAAAAAGTTATTTTTCAATAAGAAATAAGTATACTTCACAAGGACTACTGGACTTAAACCTGCTAATGAATTTGAATTTAAATCACGAGATGATTGTGGAGAGTTGTTAGTTGGTTCTTGAGATCAAATGAAATAACATATGTAAAGCACTTTGAAATCTTAAAGTGCTACATAAAGACAAGTTATAATAATACACATAATTATTATGCTTATATTTATTGTTGCTGTTATTGCATCCTTCTAAGATAAATAGATTGACATTGGATTACATTGTTATAACCTGAGTTTTGAAAATTTTGGTATCTTGCCCAAAATCAAGATTCTCAAGCTCAAGATCAGACTCTAAGGAACATGGCAATGAGGGAGAGAATCATTGGGAAGATTTTCTTCAACGTCATTGGAATGATTTGGTTTCAAGTCCACCTCTGGCACATTCTAGCTGTGTGACTACTAGTAGGCAAGGCACTTCATCTCCCAATGCTCTAAGTAGCTCCCTGAGCCTTTAAGTTGTAGAGCAGGTACTGTTCTTCATTGGAAGATAGAGTTACTTCACCTGGGGAGTTCCCTAAAGCAATAAAGTCACAGGTCCAGTCTCTCTATCTTTATACTCTGACTATCTTGAGGTGTTAAATACTACCTAGTATAATCAATCACCCTTTACCTGTAACCTTTCTTTTAAAACAAAACAAAACAACTTAAGAGACTTTGATGACCTCTAGGGGAAATTTATATGTTTGATTTCTATTTCGTGCAACACTTGAAAATGACTGAATAAATTGTGGTAAATGAATGTGAGGAAATTGATGATTTAAACAAGAAACAGAAGGATATGAACTAGTGTATCATGAAGTCAATAGGGCCAGAGCAATGTATGCTATCAAGATTACAAAAGGAACAACTCTGGAGAATTTTATAAAATGATGAAGAGTGAAATAAGCAATTTATATTGCACCAGCAACACTGTAAAGATAAATAACCTTGAAGGCTGTAAGAACTATAATCAATATACCATGACCAGTCATGATTCCAGAGGACAGATGATAAAACATATTACCCATTACGGAGAGCTGATGGATTTAGGATACAGAATGAAACATATATAGTTCTGCATAATTTATTTTTCTTAACTGTGCATTTTTGCTGTGAGACACTTTCTTTTCTTTCTTTTTTTCTTTTTCCAATGGGGTGGGAGATTGGAAAGAGATAAAAATAGATGTGTTATTTTTTTTAATAGAAAAGGGGGATGCAACCGATATGAACTGTTGCATGTACTTTCTGATGAGGTCATTGTATTATTACTTTTACTCAACTGTTTAATTTTGTTACAAAAGACCTCTAACAAAGTGGGAGTATTGTGTAAATGTTTGTAATGTAAAAATAAAACATATCAATAAAACTTGGAAAAACAACCCAAGATTTCTTATGAGAAAGGACCTCTGCAGTTTCCTTTTAACCTTTAGGTGGAAGACCATTTTTATATTCCTGGCTCTCCTCTCCTCAGAATGTATTGAAAAGTATTTTTAAATTTTTTCCCAAAATTTTTAATGTTTTCATTTAAAACTTTGAGTTCCAAATTCTATCCCTCCCTCTCCTCTCCCCTCCTTGAGATGGTAAGCAGTCAGATCTAGGTTATACATGTGCAATTATGTGAAACATTTCTATATTATTCATTTTGTACAAGAAGACTTGAATAAAAGAAAAAATGAAAAAAGAAAGTGAAAAAAAATAGCATGCTTCAGTCTGCACTCAATTAATTTAAGTTCTTTCTCTGGAGATGGATAATATGGTTCATCATTAGTCCTTGTGGTCCTCTTGGATCATTGTATTGCTGAATATAGCT